GTTGACACATAAAGAGAATAAGAGAGTTGGAAGGGACCTTGGAGGTCTTCTAGTCCAACCCTTTGCTCAAGCAAGAAACCCTCTACCGTTCCAGACAAATGGTTGTCCAGTCTCTTCTTTAAAAACCTCCAGTGATGGATCACCCACAACAAGCTGTTCCACTGAGTAATTGTTCTAACTGTCAGGAAATTCCTGCTTAGTTCTAGGTTGCTTCTCTCCTTGATAAATTTCTCTCCGTTGCTTCTTGTCCTGCCTTCAGGGGCTTTGGAGAATAGATTGACACCCCGCACCCTCTTCTTTGGGGCAACCCCTCAAATATTAGAGCACTGCTATCATGTCACCCTTAGTCCTTCTCTACTCCAGGGAGCAAATGACCTATACCCATAATGGCGAACCTGTGGCACGCATGCCACAAGTGGCACGCAGAGCCATTTGTACTGGCACACAAGCTGCAGGCAAACTTACCTCACTGTGCATGCACGCGCCTCACAGCTGATTTTTTTTTTTTTTTCGGTTGGTTTGAGGTCTTTTTTGGCCTCCCAGAGGCTTGGAAAAAGCCTCTGTAAGGCTTTTCAGGATGAGTTATAGGCCCGTTTCGTCATTTCCTGTAATACCGGAAGTGACAAAAACGGCCTTTTATTCGTCCTGAAAAGGCTTGGAGAGGCTTTTTCCAAGCCTCTGGGAGGCTGAAAAAGGCCTCAAACCAGCTGAAAAATCAGCTGTGAGGTGCAGTGCAGGTAAGGCGGAGGCAAGGGGAATTGTGCGCGCATGCACAGGGGGACATGGGGAGGGGGCACGCATTGCATTCTGGAAGCTGGCACGCGAGTGCATGCGCGCTAATGTGCACACCGTTTTGGACACAGGAGCCCAAAAAGGTTAGCCACCACCGACCTAAATTATTCCATTAGGGTTTGTATTAGGTGTTGATTTTTTTTAACATACCTCCCTTTCAGGAATTAATGCAGAGGAGGTCTCCAGATCATAATAATGGTTCTGTGGTATACGATATCTTTTCTCTTCCCTTCGCAAAGGTGTGTTTGGGCCAGGGATGGGTTGCTACTGGTTCACCCCGGTTCGGGCGAACCGTTAGCTAGTTTTATCATTTTTAATGGACCGGTTCAGCGAACCCGGTAAATGCCAGCCCTGGCTGGCCCGCCCACCCCACCCCTCCCAGGAGTCCCCACACGGCCTGTTTTGCATGCCAGGTAAGTACAGGGCTCGGGCCGCCAAGAAGGCCGGAAGTGGGCCTATTTCCAGCCTCCAGAGGGCCTCCGGAGCCCAGGGAGGCCATTTTCACCCTCCTGGAGGCTCAAGGAAAATAAATAAATAAATAAATAAATAAATAAATAAAGAAAGAAAGAAAGAAAGAAAGAAAGAAAGAAAGAAAGAAAGAAAGAA